GGGGGGGGGGGGGGGGGCTTTGCTTTCGTTCTTTGCGTTCATGCTGTGCTCGTTTCGTCTTTCGGGGAATCTCAAGGAATCTGTGCACAGAAAACATATGCGTCGCCCATGATGTCCCCGAGAGTATTATTATTTAGGAGTCTCATGTTCCTAAGCTGCAGTTTTGCGCCTCACACGACGTCGGCGACGTGCTTTCGAAAACTCGAAAAATTCGAAAATTCGCAGCAGATTCGAAAGCTCGACATTTCAACGTTTCAAGGATCTCGCTTGATTCCAAAAACCAAAAGACTTAAATTTTCTCGGTTCTCGGCTGATTCGAAAATTCGAGAACTCGAAAATTTCGATAATGTTTAGCAGCTTAGCAAATCCCAAAACTCGAAAATCGACAATCCGAATTGTTGAAGATCCCGCTTGATTCCGAGACTCGAAATTTAGAACTTTCTGGAATCTCAGTTGATTCCAAAAGTCGAGAGGTTGAACATTCGGCAACTCGAAAAAATGAAAATTCGACAATGTTTAGCAAATTCGAAAACTCGAAAATTCGACGATCTCGCTTGGTTCCAAAATACGAATATTAAGTTCTAAGTGTTTGTTGTCTGGAAAGTATGTCCCCGTAAGCTCTAAGCCCAGCGTAGGGGTAGTTGCGGCAGTTAAGTTGTCCCCACCGCCCAGGCATGAGGACATCCATGGTCTAAGCCGGTCCAAGAAAAGATCATCCGTCCATGGCCCAACCTTGATGACATCCAGACTGGGGTTTTCGCGCATGTGTATTCTGGCCACTCATGAGGCTTCTCAACCCAGCGATGCACGGCACGCGGCATTCCGGGTGTAGGCAGCGAACACTCCAAAAACATACACAACCGAGTGCCCGTGACAAAACGTACCCGCTGTCTTGTGTACCGAACGAGGAGCCTGATGCAGAAGTTCATGTGCAAGACGCAGTTGGGACAGAGTCCTTTCGGACAGACTGCGACAGAGCGAGCCCTCCACCGGATTTTGGTCTCATCAGCTGACTAGAAATATCCAGTACGACGACGACGACGACGACTACTACTACTACTGCTGCTTCTATGCTAGTACCACGACTAGCACGATTGCGGTGCCACTGCCCATGCACAACGACTACAACTACATTGCCGTCAAAAATATTAGAAAATGCAAAAAAACGAAAGTTCGAGTTTTCGCTTCTTGTTGAAACGAAACAAAGCTAAATCGAACATTCAAGAACTCGAGTGAGTTTTCGCTTTATATTGAAACGAACAAACAAAAGTTGATTCCAAAATTCAATATTCGGAGTTTTGATGGATTTTGGCGGTTTGGTGGAGACGAAACACAGCAAAGCGTTAATTCGAAAATTCAGAAACTCGAAAATCGAATTTTCAAACAGTTCCAGCATTCGAAATTAGATTTTTCTAGTTTTCGCGTTTTTTGGTGGAGACGAAACAAAAGCAAACATTAACAATTGTGACTCTCAACGTTTCGCGTTTTTTCGGTTGACACAAAAAACTCGAGTTTTCGACGTTTCGGGTTTTTTCGGGTGCCTGTCGACACTGTTGTGTGCGCGAAACACAAAACCACAGCACAGCAAGGTTCAGGGTTTGGGGGCAGGCTTCCATTCATACACATATGTATATATATATATACATGAGTGTGTGTATGCATAGATATATATATATACATATGTGTGTGTGTGTGTTTGCATAGCTGCGCGCATCCTACATATACCAGTAGATATGTGTGCATGTGTGTATAAACACATACACACCGCCCATGACCTGGGCGTGTGTAGATACACAGAATGCATGCACGCACACATGTACATGTATATAGATATACTGTGCATGTTTGTATTGACTTGTATGCACATACACGTATGTACGCATGCACAGGCACATGCTACCTTGGCATATACTTTTACATGTACTATGAAGATATGGAGTACATATTATGCACATGTATATATAATGCAAGGACGTATGTATATATGTGTTTATATGTATGTACATATACATACATATATTCATATATACATACATAAACACGATTAAATCAAAATACTGCTAATAGTTACTAGTAGACATATATATATATACACACATAGAGAGAGAGTGTGTGTGTGCGACAGTAAGAGAATGTAGATATAGACTGCATATAATATGCATATATAGAAAAACATACGCTCCATGCTTGCTATCCATTTCCTTGTCGTCCATTGTCTCGTTGCTCGTGTTTGTGAGTTTTCTTTTAATATTTCGTCGTTTCCTTCTCTCGTTCATTGCTTCGTTCGTTCGTCTTTAGTGTTATCTTCGTTCTTTATGTCTTTATTGTTTTCCTTGTTTGCCTCGTTATTCATTGTTTTCTTTCTTCTTGCCCTTGTTTCATCTTTGTCGGTTTCCCACCCAAACCGTGTCTGCACACGCTCTAAATGCTTTTGCTTTTCGATGCCATCTTAAACATTTTTGATGCATTTTTAATCTTGCCTTAAGGCCTCGCGACCTTCTGCACAACCCATTGAATGCCATTGAACCTAAAGCTTCACGTGAGAGCAATCCGGAAAAAACATCAAGGGGATTTATATAGTCTTTAAGTCTGCTCGCCCCACCGGCTGATTCGCATATCATGAACGGATTGATGACAAGGAGCATCACACGGATGGCACAAGCTTGATTTTCAGCGCTATCGCAGCGGCTTGAATCAATCAGCTCGCAGCACCTAAAACCTGGCGAACATGATACATTAGCTGTTCCACGATACAGTGATTCCCGACATTCAGCAGACCGAGCGGAGCAGGGTCACAGGTCAGGGAAAAAACTGCGAACGCTGTGAGCCAAGACCAGGCTGTTCTCCAGGAGAAATCATCCTGGGAGGAACCACAGTAGGCTGTTGTCGAGGAGAGATCATGGTGGCCGGCATCATCCCTGCAGACATTGCCACGCCAGACTGCTGTCGAGGAGATATCACCGCAGGCATTGCCGAAGCATACGGGTGTCGAGGAGTTATTGAAGTCGCAGGCGTCGCTAAGCCAGATGCACCGGCTTGCATTGCAAACGCTTTGGGGGGCCTCTCCACAGCAACACCGCTGTCAGCCGACAGCCGCCATACAGTGTCCACCATGTCAATTTGTACCGAGTCTGCAGTGGTGAAGATGATTGTGCGCGGACGCCTTTGCTGGATGTCTAGCCCATCGTCAACCTCCAAGCCTCTGTTCTGGGTAAACTCTTTCATGCAAGACAGCACTGCCTGCCTCATGTCGTCGTCCAGGTCTTGCACTGGACGGTTGATTGCGAGCACGTGCGGATTTGCAACAAATGCTCGTGCCAGCTGAAACCGAACCCGTTCACTTGTGCTGAGTCGATCGAACCATGCGTCACTGTCTTCATCCGCTTCCTCGTCCTCCTCTTTCTCCTCCTCGGCAAGGCATCCGAACATGCCGTCGTCTGATGTGGGACTGGCCTCAGCGACTTCTTGCAATGCCGCGGCTTCCAACTCATACATCTCCTGCAAGAATAGCAACAAGAAGAATCTGAGAAATGCTGAACGGCCACAGGCTACACAGGCCTGGAATTTCACCACTACCACAACCCGAAAGTCCTTAATCCAGGGCTTGTCCAGCTGTAGCCGACGAAGGATTCTGAGGCCTCGTTCAATGTTCACGCCCCCCATCTCATCGACAGTGCTGATCATGTGAAGATTGCAGAACAGTCCGGCGTTCTGAATAAACAGTGGCTCGTGGGCAACATAGAGAATCTCCAGGTGTGGTGATATCACCACTTCCCCAGTAGATGGCGAAAGGTGTCCACTGATCAGCTGGAGGAGCGTCATTTTGCCAACGTCATGATGACCAGCCACCTGGATGATTGACCCCTGCGGTGCTTCTGCGGAGAAGGCCTTTCTCTTCATGCTGGGGCTGTGCACGATCGTGGCATCCATGAACACGATGGGTATATCGTCCAATGATGCACCCGAAGGTGCATGTTGCGTTAACCAGTCCAACGTGAACCTCGGTTCTGGAGATTCTGAAAGCTTTCTTTCCACAGCCACCCTCTGAAAGCGAGCCGTTTTCATGGCATCACGAGACTCCATGCATGGATGGGAAGGGTCGAAACAGTAAAGTTCTCAAATCGGGGGTGCTTAGCGCAGTGCGATTGAATCGTGTGAAAGCGCTTAAAGCTTAAGTATGCCCGCCCCGTCAGGCGGATAACCGGGCAGAGGGATGGCTCAGCGGGTCAGGTATTTGAAGAGATCACGGTTTGCAAAATCACCTCGGAAATCCTGAGACCGCCCCGTGCATCCTGAGAATCTGTGCCGGCATTCAACCTCTACGGGCGGGAAGATCTGTAAGTACTACCACGTACACAGAAAGCACGCTGTCTGCATACCGAGCGGCGATTCACGCCTCTGGAAGACTTCCTTCTTTGCTGGAACTTCTGTCTCATAGTTTAATTGGAGGGTGATCCCGCACAATGGTGAGATAGACTTGCTCAGAGCTGTGAAGCCTTTCAGTATTGTGGAGAAACGGTCGCCAAGGTCCTGCGGCAGGATTCGGACGGCATGTCGGCGAGTGGAGTGCTGCACGTGGCATGCCGGGTGTCCGGTCCTTGTACACATTCACTGTCGCGAGGAAGGAACCCAACGACGTCCCGCCTGAGAGCACAACCTTTGGTGACGATGCCATGTAGCTGCCGATGGCGAGAAGGGTGATCCACGGAATCACTTGTGCGTTCCAAAACTGGAACCGTTTGAGATCCATTGTCAGGGATCCTCAGCCAGGCTGGTCAGTGCTAGCGGGAGCTACAGTAGTAGCGAAATCAAAACAAGCTCCCGGACAGTCTCGGATCTGAAGTGGCAGCTGTGACTACGACCTAGCTAGTACGATACCATGATGGCGGCAATCGCACGAGACACATTGAACCGGGAGGCGTTGATGATGCAAGATCTCCTCACGCTTTCAGCTGTGGGTGCTCAGTGCTCATTGACCGTCAAGACTTCAAGCCAACGCAACACCCACCTCAAAGTTTCGCACTGCCACTGAATTCCCATCATACAAGGAGAGCAGACGGCGGGAAGTGTTCAGCTCCATGACAACTCCTGGCACTTCTGAGAGCATCCCAGACCAAAGCGCGTCTCGGGCCCAACACGCAGACTCGATCTTCGGCACTGCTCTACCCCCAGGTCTGTCCTGTTGTGTCGCTTTGACCCTCTCCTTCTTTTGCCATGAGATCTAGCCGCCTGTGGTACCTCAAAAGATGCATCTATGCAAATGGCAACATGGTCCTAAGTGTGGGAAAAGCACACAATCAGAGCAGGTGAAAATCACCCTACGTTCAGCCAGAGTGCGTGCACCTTAAGTAGATCGCCAGGATCACTGGATAAGCAAAGAGCGGAAGCGCACTGCTGGGGTGCTTCCGCAACATGAAGAACGCAATGCACGCAATTTTCCCCAGCATGGCCCACAGTTCGAACACAATCAAGTAGCCCTCGGAGACTAGCTCTGGGATATCGTCCATCATGCTGATCTTGAGGTCCTGGATGGGCACACGAGATCGCGACTGCTGCGTGTAGTAGAGGTACTTTCTGAACAAGTTCACTCGCAAGTAGTAGCGGATGTTGAAACCCATCTCCAGAACGGCCATCTCAAAATAGTCAGAGGCCAACAGAACAAAGTTGGGAAGAATCCATGCCAAGGCAAGGGCAACTGCAGTGCCATTCCGATCCCCTGGGATCAGCAGTCGCGATGACGACTCTTCATCTCTCGGGTTGAGAACTGTATCAACCAAGTACACACGGATGAAGATTGTGCCAAGGTAGTATGCATTCCCCAGCATCGACAGTAAAAGGACCACGTTGGTCTTCCAACGGATCTCACGAACGTGCCCGTAGCTGAATCGCATAAAGCTCCACAGCACTGTCCAACCAATCTTGTACAGTCCGGCCTCGTCTTCCTTTTTAAGCTCTTCCTCCAGCTCGTTTGCAGGGAACAAATCATCATCCATGATCATGATAGTAGATCGGGCACTCGCCGGCTCGATGACACAGTTTCTGGCATCCTCGAGCACTACTTCAAACTCCAAATTGGAGTCGAAAAAATCGTCGTCGATGATCTCCACCTCTCGTTCCGACCCGTCAATTCGAAGCTGCAACAACAAACTAACTTCATTGACTGTATGCTAGCCGGAGACGCAGACGGCAGTTGTTGCTCCCAACAGTATGCAGCAAATTCCACGCCTCAAAGCTTCGGAGAGACTCGCCAGGGCCGAAGACGAGAGTACCACCGCCCCCATGATACCTTCAGTCGCAGTCAAACCGAAGACGCTCAAGTGAGACCTGGGCATCTTCACAAGTTCTCGGTCGAGGGGCTTTTGGCCTTGCTGTGCCGATCCATCTTCTGTTCTCCAGTTCACCGAGCATTGCCCATACAGTGACCCCACCCGCGCAACTCGTATAAGCGCATTCTCCTGCACAACGTGTTGAGCTGAGAAGAGAGAACGGTGCGAGGTCCAGCAGAATCTGCTCGAAAAAAGTTGGAATCATGTCACAGAATCACAGGCGGTCCATCTATCGATCGATCAATCTATCCATCTAAGTTGTTTGAAGCATTGTAGACTTATAGGGCATGGCACCAGTGTAGAAGTCCTGGCTCTACTCCAGACTGAATGCGGAGTGAAACAAACATACCAGCAGCCGCCCAATCCTTCTCAGTAAAGTAGAAGGTCCGTGAGAGAAACTGCACCACATCGTTGCCCCTGCCAGTTGTCGAAGCAGTCCAAAGTTTAGATGTGGGTAGGGAGCTGACCGAAAACACTACGCAGAAGGTCACCAGCATTAACATCCTCAGTCATTCCAGCCTAAAGACACGAACGACGTCATTTCAGCCTGGTGAGGTTCATGTTTGCCGATTTTGCACATCAATGCTGAATTGCCTGAGGGAGTGTGCCGAAGCTGCACTTTACTCCTCGGTGGTACTGCTTAGGACTGCCGCTGCAGAAAACAGGCAAAGGCAAGACCTGGGCGAAGGATGACTGTCAAGAGTAAGGATGGCCGAAAGCAGTCTCAGGATATGCTGAGGCCGACTGCCCCCCCCCTCCCGTCCCTCCGGTTTCGACTCACACACTCGCACAAGGCTGGCATGGCTGATGGTTTAGGGCCTGAGGTTAAGTGCGCAGACATCACATCTGTGCCTGTACCCTTTCATTCCGCTTTCCGTGTCCAAGCTTAGGCCTTTGGATTTCAGCTGTTTCTTCAACACAGACAAACAGAGGACAGTACACGAGCGCTGCCCTCATGCGATATCACGCAGTACGGAAATCAAAGGTCGGCGGGCCACTTGTGGAAAAGCGGTCACACTCACCGAGATTCGTCCGAGGAACCACCACTAGACCTAAGTCGTGCGCCCCAGTCGGTTGCCACTTTGGCGGCAAGGACTGATCCAGAAGGTAGAACGACCACGTGCCCCCAATCCCTCTGAAGGCTGCCTATCCCACTTCTTCTTCCTTCGGGTTAGAGGAGCTGGTCAGGCTCCCCGGCCCATGGGGCCCCCCAACGTTCTGGGGCTTTCGGGGAGGGCTACACTCTCCCTCTCTCTAGCTTTAGACCTACACAACTTTCTAGGCTCTGGGCGGCTTTACAAAGCACGACGACGCCACACAAACCCGAGCAAGAGCAATCGCCGAGTTTGCACCTGCTCCGTGGTGGCTGCGACGGCGGGGGAGCTGCAATGCGAGGGGCTGCGTCCACTGGTGCGACCACGGGCTGATTGACCAGTGGGACCCAGGCATCACCTGAAAGCTTCAAAGGAGTGAATAATGTTAAACTGGCTCATTGACGGATAATGACCCTGTGTTCTGTTTTGTCTCGCCACGACTTGGCTTGCTGCTCGCTTCTCTTTGCATTTACCCCTGCAGGCGTGCCGTATCACGGTAGTTCAGCCCATAGACAGTATTGAACTGAGTAGACACTGCGTATTCGGAGCGCTGGATGTGGGAGACTGTGTCTCTTAAGTCGGGCCTCTGGTAGCCTAGCTCGGGCAGAGATTGAACCGATGGGATCATGTTAAGCGTGCTCACGGGTGCATGACATGCATGAATGCCGGTTTGCTGAATGCTGCTGAGGCTCGTCTTGACAATACCCCTGCATTGTAGCTCAATGCCATCTGGGCACAGACCCTTCTCAATCAGTCACCGGAGCTACTTTCGAGCTCCACCGGAACTATTGAGCCAGTCCCGACTGCGGCATCCATTCACTCACACAACAATCCAACTGAAACAGGTGCTGGCGCACATCTCTGCGTCTGTTTTTTGATAGGTGTTCTTTCCACGATATATCGACCGCATTTACCGCTCCGTCAGAAAAGAACGTCACATGTGACTTCAAATCTGGACCCTTCCATGAGACCGACATCTGGCAGTTGTTCACGCCTGTCGGGAAGCAATATGAAACTAGAATCGAAAATCGAAACAGATTCTTGCTCAGGCGGCTTGTGCGCCATGGCGGCAGTCGAATCACATGCCGATGTACGTAGCTTTGATCCTTCACGGTCTGCCGCCGCGAGAGGGACACTTTTCGACGATTACTCCTGAGCCCGGTGTGATCCGCCATACGTAATCCGCGATTTCAAACCTGTCATTGCTGCCAGTTGTGAAGATCACCGTTCGTGGGCGCCGCCGAGTTCTGTCCAGCCCGCCTTCGATATCCAGACCCCTCATCTGCACGAAGTCTTGGAGGGCTGATAAGACCGCCTGTCTCACCTCGCCTTCAAGCTCCTGCACGGGCCGATGAATTGCCAAGACGTGCGGATTGTGAAGAAGGGCCCTCGCCAATTGAAATCTCCACTTCTCGCTCGTGCTCAGCTTGCTTGTCCAGGGGAGATCCACCTCCTCCTCCTCCTCTTCCTCCTCCTCTTCTTCCCCCTCCTCGTAACACCACAGAGTATGGTGTGGTGCCACGTCGTGGCTGGACTCCAACGCCTTGTGCAACGCCTGCGCTTCGGCATCGTACATGTCCTGCACACACAGACGTGGTCACAGGTCCAACCGATGGGTGTAAAAGCTGTGGATGCATCTGTAAAGTTAGCAAAGGCCTGCAATGGAATTTATGCAAGGCAGAGTTCGGTTCAGCCTCTGTTGAGTGGTAAATGCGGCATATGACTAGGCAACATCCGCAGGAAACTCCTTGATCCAGCGCTTGTCTAGGCGCAGCTTCTGCAAGATGTGGACGCCTCGCGCATAAATTTCAGGCGAATATTGCGATTCATCGCTGATCCTGCACCGGCGAGGGTATTCCGAGACGGCGGTGGGGGGCTGTAACTGACGATTGAGGCCTACTGTTGCAAGGCATCTGACTGACTGGCACAGACCGTCGAAACAACCCCTGAAATGCAGACGGGCGTCATGTGCAGATTGAAGAATACACCCATACTGTCTCCAAACAGCGGAAGATGAGGCACATGTAGAAGGTTCCTTTTGCAGAAATCTTTCACATGTATGCCATGGAAATCTAGCATCCCCTGAAGTGCTTGCAGCACTACAGCCCAAAACTACGACGTCTAGCCATCTACCATCTGGTTGCCTGGTAGATGCAAGCAAAGTCCGGACTCCAGAACATTTTTTGAGCTTGTCACATCGCCTAGCCATCGACACGGAACGCCGTGCAGCAGTTTCCCTAGCTGGGCCCGGGCAGGCGTCATGCGAGATGCGATTATGCGAATGGCTCTGTGCATGAGGTTGGTTCGCCAAGAACATCTACCAAGCATGGCTGCAAAACATTACTTCTCCAACCAACGAAACTGCTCGAACGCGGCTTAGCATCAAGTGCGGCGACACCAAGACCACGCCAGTGGATGGCGGTAGACCATCACAAATCAAGCTCAACATGGTCCTTTTTCCAGAATCGTGAGGCCCGGCAATCCTTCGGCAAAGAACACTCTTTCCAAACAGTCGCACGTGTCAGCCAACATGCCAAAGGACTCCAAGGCTCTGGATGATTGTCCCCTGAGGTGCTTGCACCGAAAATCCCCCAGTTGCGACATTCATGCACGGGGAGTAGGCCACTTGCACATCCTGACAGAGCACTGTGCCAGCGTGCTTTGTGAGATGGTCAACAGGGTGTTCGAGAGGCAGGTTTCACGTTTCTGCTCACAGCGGCAGTAGTAGTAGTAGTAGTAGAAGTAGTCGTGGTGGTGGTCGTGGTGGTGGCAGTGTTACTGGTAGTGGTAGCGGTAGCACAGCAGCGGCAGCAGCAGCAGCAGGAGTAGTAGTAGTAGTGGTGGTGGTGATGGTGGTGGTGGTAGCTAGCAGCTAGCACTCGCACTAGTTCTCGTCGCAGCAGGAGTAGCACTGGCAGTAGTAGCTGTAGCAGTAGCAATATTAGTAGCAGCAGCTGCAGGAGTCGGAGTCGTGGTAGTGGTAGTGGTAGTGGTAGTGGTAGTAGTAGTAGTAGTAGTAGTAGTAGCAGCAGTAATAGTAGTATTAGTAGCAGCTGCTGCTGCAATAGTTGTAGTTGCAGAAGCAGCAGCAACAGGAGGAGGAGGAGTAGTAATTAGTAGTAGTAGTAGTAGTAGTAGGAGTAGCACTAGGAGGAGGAGTAGGAGTAGTAGTAGTAGTAGTAGTAGTAGAAGAACTGAACGGCTGCAAGTTCTGTATTCTACACACAAACACAGGGTAGGAGATGATTGCAACGGGCAGCTTAGCACAAGTTGACCACAGACAGCAAACCTGGTTATGGTCCTCAAAGACAATCGGAATGTCATCCGGCGAAACTCCAGTTGAAGCTCGGGTCTGCAACCAGTCGAGGGCAAACCTTTCCAAGCAGTTTCCAACCCAAAAGTCCAAAAGATTCGAACATTCGCTTCACTGGGAACAGCTGCAAAACTCCGAGCTGCCTTTCTCGTCTCTGGAAGGTCTCGCTGCGGTCTAACACATCAACTTGATAGCTGAACTGAAGAGTGAGACCGCAGAGGGGAGAAATCGACTTGCCTCAGCCGAGCGTGACGATGCCCGCGCATTTGCTTCGCAGACTTCTCTGACATGCCAAGATGCTCAGAGACGTAAAGCCGCGCAGGATTGTGGTGAATCGGTCTCCCAAGTCCTGAGCCAGGAATCTGGACAAATTTTTAACCCATGCCGGATGTCCTCCCCACTTGGTCCATGTTTACAAAACTGCCCGACCGACAGTGCTCGACTCGTGTCCTTGTAAACATTGATCGTGGCCAGGAAAGATCCAAGAGAAGTGTTTCCCGAGAGGACCACTCGGGATGACATCGCCATGTAATTTCCTTGCTCTCACAAGATCTTGCACTCACAAGCGCACATGTGAAGTTCCGCAGTCCCCAGTAACTGCCGCGAGATGCCATCCTTCACGCATGCAGCCGAAGCAGTTCGAACACGTTGACACAGTGCAGAACTAGAGTCGGTGCCCCCGAAACGCCCGCTGAACCCAAAGCACTCGTGATACTCCCAAACTGTTAACACAGGCAGTCTGTCTGCATGTTTTCGGCTTAGGGGAAAGTTGACGCGGCCGTGGTTGCTGTAAACTGGCTAAGTTCATTCGCAGCGCTCTCGAAGGGGAAAGTCGGATGCAAGTCCAAGGGCTCAGTCGTCTCCCCCTCGTATCAGCACAGATTCGATAGCAAATAGATGCATGCTGCAAGCTTCTGCATCGTCATGCTACAGCCCTGGATCGCTTGAAAACACAGCTCAAGGCGGAACGACAGTTCACACTCCAAAGCAATGCATGTGACACCATTGCGCTGGAAGACCGGAGAATGAAATTTCTTGATAAGAAATGCATCTCGGAGGAGAGACTTTGGACCTTGAAACGGAGAAAGACGCGGAGGCGGATATGTGGCAAGTTGCCTTGCCTGCAATGCGTCGAGAACAACCGAATCGAACTTTGCTTAATTTTTTGCATGCCCATCACTGAGAACACAAGCTTATAAGGCACAATGAAATCAGCATGACAGGCTTGGCACAGGATCTGTTTCGATCCGCCAACTGGGACACTGAGTTGCGGCCCAGCTGACGACTCCTCGAGCCAGGTTAACGATGCAGTTCTTGTGGATGAGTAGTGACCGACGGTCCGCAATGCTGTTAACCCGACATAAGACCGCAAGAATGACCCCAGCAATCGATCTCAACAGTGTCCAGCATCAGACCGAAACCGAAACAAGCCGCGATCGAGCAAACATAAAAGTCCATCAACAAAAGGAAAAGCCGACAGACTGAAGACACTAACCACCAATCACCTGGAAAGCTGGCAATAATAGTGCGCCAAAGTAACGCACTTCCCAAATGTAACACGCCGGCCAAGGGAAAGCTAAGTTGCTTCCATATTCCAAGATTACATGGACTAAACAAGCCAAAGCGTGCGGTATTCCCAAACCCGTTCAAACGCTTGACAAGGAGCTATATTCCTTGATACATGTATGTATATATACTATAATATAAACAAATATAAATACAAATATATAAATATAAATGTATTATATATATACACATACATACATACATACATACATGCATACATACATACATACATACATACATACATACATACATGTTGATGGTGCCGCGTCGCCGCGAGCATGACCCCCCAACTCGCTCTCGCATTCCTGGTCTGCAGACGAGAGCGGGACCTGCTTCTGGCCTGCAATCCTTGCAACTGCTGCAAGCTTGGGATCTCAATGTCTCGATATCACGGATCATGGAGACACCTCAAGAATGCCAACCCCAAAGCAAACGCCAACCCATCCGCATCCACACGGAGGGCGGGCGATACCATACTCGCGGGGGGTAACACTGGGCCATCTAAGTCGCCCCGGCTGAAGCGGGTCCTCTTGCATTGCGACCGGGCCGAGGCAAACGACGCGAAGTGTTTGCACTAAGCTTGTAATTGTAATTAGATGCGTTTTGCCATTCTCTTGCTTCATCGTCCCATTTTCACACCTCACTTCTTCCTTTATTCACACAATCAGTTTCTGTTGCGCGTGCATTCCTCCCAGAACTTCTTGCATGGCCGGAATGCAAACTGAAAACATCTTTTGCACAACTTTTGGGGATGCACATCCGACAAGCACATCTTGAGCAGATCTTGCATTTCAGTTCGATTTCGGTGGACCTAGCCAGAAGGCTGGGCTAGCAAGCCACAAGTCTACGCTAGGCCTCGATTGAGGTACGCAGCGCAGCACTGTTGCAGCAAGGATCTCCGGAAGCAATATAAACCGAGGACTACCTCCATTGCTTCCAAGCAGCCTATGGCAAGCAGGGTGATCCAAGGTATGAGCTGGGAGTTCCAGAACTCAAAGGACTTTAAATCCATGGTGAGGCTGCCTGCAGGAGCTCAATCAATTCTGGCACAATCTCGAGGTGCTCACTCTAATCTTACCAGCATCATATTCTAACTGTCGAAGACATAGGCCATGATTCCATGATAGTAACAAGCAGATTCAACAGTACTGATGACGGCGATTATAAAAGTGCGCCGGTGACGATGCTGGTGATAGCGACGCACAGCGGCTACGGTGCCACAATGATGATGATGATGATGGTGATGATGATGATGTTGATGATGGTGATGATGATGCTGGTGGTGGTCGTGTTGGTGAGGAGGAGGATCGCCTCGTCCATGATTGTTGCTCTTCTGATAGTAATGGTGCTGATGGCACTGAAGATGGTGATGAGACATGTGAAGGCTTTTAACAGGCTCTGCTAAGTTTATGGTACTTCATGACTATGCGTGATGTCCGCGATGGTCTTGAGGCTGAGTACGATGACTACCGGCAGCCGAAGACAGGGTTGTGATGATTGCTGGTGGTATCTGGTGGTCGAGGCGGTGTAACGCTGATAGCCATGGAAGCGATGGAGATGCAGCGGATGGTCATGATGGTATCTCCTCGCCAGGATTCCTCACACAAACGCTCTCACGGACAAGCAAAGCTGCACCTGGAAGGTGTTTGCGGCGAGGGATGCATTTCGGTCGAAGTCGCTCCGCAACGTTACTGCCATAGTGCTAATCTACTGAGCAAAACAACACATATGCAGCTGCAGGCACGCTGTCGTCTCAATATGTTCTCCTGAAGCCAGCCATGCAAAGGAAGTCTAGCAAGGAGCTGCAGAATCTGAGGCAGCAGGAAGCTAATGCCGCAAGGCCGATGAGACGAGGAAGCACACCCGACTAAATAACACTGTTGGCAGCGACATGTTTCCCAACCGTTGCAGTTCTAAGCTCGCTGTGTGAGGAACTGTTTGCCACAGCTTGGACGGCAGCGCAATCAATCACTAGCTGTGTTTATCAGGCTCTACGACGGCCAACTGTGCCCTGTGCGGACAAGGGTCGAACTGGCTAACCACGTAACCATTCGCGTTGTAATAATTCACCAGGCGCTGTGCCGTATGCAGATGCCTGAGTACGCCACACCAGTACGTGACTGCATCCGTGTGGTGGTGTCGGGGTTCAGTGAAGAGGGACGGAAACTTCCTTCATTCTCGGCCGAGAAGCATGATGGCGCCGGTCGTGTCACTTTGGCCCTCGCCTTCTTTTGCCATCAGGGACAGGCGTCGGGTGTACCTTACGTGTCCCGGAGCGCTTCGTGAGGGCGGGGGCGAGGCAGACAGCGGCACATCTGCAACTATGGGGCGTGCACTGCACGTAAATGAAGATGAGAATTGGATAAGCAAACAAGGGAATCGCGCTGTGAGGATGTTTCCGGAGCATGAAGTATGCAATGCAAACAATCTTGCCCAGCATGGACCATAACTCGAAGATAATGAGGTATCCTTGTGACACCAGTTCAGGGATGTCTTCCATCATGCTAATCTTCAGGTCCTGCAGCGGCACCAGCTGACGAGACTGCTCGGTATAGTTGAGGTATTTGCGGAACAGGTTCACTCGCAGGTGGTAGCGAATGTAAAATCCCATCTCCAAGACTGCCATCTCAAAATAATCGGCGCCAAGCAGGATGAAATTTGGCAGAATCCAGGCTAGCCCAACAGCAACAGACGTGCTGTTCCGATCGCCAGGAAACCAGAGCTTCTCGGCAGTGCCCGGAGTGATGTTGTCAAGCACCGTGTCCACCAAATACACACGCAGGAATATGGTGGACAAGTAGTAGGCATTGCCAAGCATTGACAACAGCAGGCAAAGGCATGTCTTCCACCGGATCTCCGGCACGTGGGTGAAACAAAAGCCCATAAAGGAAAACAATAAAGACCACCCCACTCCATACAACTCGTCTTCACTTCCCTCCTTGATCTGCTCCTCATGCTTATTTGAAGGAAACATATCATCGTCTGTGATCATTACCACACTCCGACTGCCACTTGAATCTATGATGCAGTTCAAACCTTCAAACAGGACAACGTAAAAGTCCAGTGTGGAATCGAAGTCGTCATCATCAATGAGCTGAATCTCGAAGGACCGGACGCACTCCCCGTGTCCGAACTCGAGAGTGCCAGCTGCACCGCGATACCTTGAAGCTGCAGATCCCTTCATAAGTAAGCGCTTGCAGTCTTGCGAGTTAAAGCACTGTTTGACTTAGCAAAGACCTAGCAACTTTGGAACGGTCAGAATTTCCGAACCCTGCTTACCATGTTGCGTGATCAGTTATTAGTAAAACAGCTGAACCGACACTCTGCTTGAGCGAGATCAGATCTTTCAGTGAAACTGCGCTGTAGACCAGACTAGCTGGCAAAGATCCGCATGGCCAGTCAAACCCTGAGGTAAAACAGCAGGAACTCGAAGTTACGCAACTAGCATGCACACTGGATGTATTTGCGGCATGGTCGCTTCTTCCCATCTTGAGCTGAGTTGTCTTCTGTCTTCCACTGGACAGAGCATTTGCCATATAGTGAACCAATCCGTACGACTTGGATAACCGCATTCTCCTGACGTCATTCAGAAGCCCTTGCATGAATACATCGGGTGGGCGATTGCCGATGGTGCAGGTTAGCTTGGCTTTGTTCGACGTTCCACTTCGTTCGCAAGACTTCCTTGCTTGAACCGAAATCAAGCCCGCTACTGCAAAATCTTGTAGCGCGTCCTTCTCCGAAGAATAGAAAGTGTTGGAAAAGAACTGCACCACATCTCCGCCTTCGCCGCTCTGCTGCCGCCTGATGCCACAGAACACTGATACTAAATTGCAAATTGTAAATCACGGCTCGTGCATGCCGGTGTGGTGTGCGGGTAGGAAGAGGAAGACTTGGATTCGGTCATGATTCGGTCATGATCGGTCTGACCAATCGTGGATGCAGAGAGGGTGCCGACAAGGCATCATTGTTTGGCTTGATACTGCTGAGCTACTCGGTTGTGGCGAAAGCCTCTAAAACCAGGCTTCAGGTAACCCGGTGCCGGGGGTACGTTGCTTGGGGCAACGGTGCTTATCTACACTTTGTACGGCCCCCTTAACGAAAAAGCATTAATAGTGATAATAGTACTAGACCTGAAAGTAGTAGTGCCGTAACACTGCCCCCCCTCACCCGTCTGTCCTGCGTCTTCGGTTTTGAGCATCCTGAACGTTACCTACAACCTCAAACCTAGTCATCACAAACGCACAAGCAAAGATTAAAGTAAACTATGAAAAGCATGTCCACATGTATTCCAACACAAAGCAGCACCTGCACACATCTGCGTTTCATGAGCACACTCAATCCAACTGATGAAGCAAAACCTGCATGCCTGTCGAAGCATTGATCTAAGTTGGCGAAAGCAGTTCGCGTGTGAAGGGCAGTTAACTTCAAATAACCTATGAAATGAACAAAACGTCTTCTCATAGAAGCTTATCTAGGAGAACCTGCAAATGTCTTCGCGAGGAATGAGGGATTGGGACTGAGTAACAACTAGACATGTCCCCGATGCCGGGGGCGAGCCATGCCTGTTCTTACGGAGTGGGGGGGGAGCGAGGGGCTTCATTATTTAGAGGATGCGGGGGGTGTTCATTGGGTGATGAATGTTTCTACATCTTGACCTAAGCACATTGTGCTGTTCGCACAGGGTCCGATTCGGCACGATGCACGAACGGTCCGCTTAGAGCTTCAGGTATTTGCAGGTGACAATGCCAATTCACAACATGGAATGCGGCGGTGCCGAGCAAAGGGTGCATCATGACTAATTACTTTCTCGCGTGCTTCCTGGCTGGGGAGATGGGCGGATTCAATCAATAACTTTTATCATTGCTGGCTATTATCAGTACCAGTGCTGTTCGGGCACAGGCTGATAGTACCAACACAAAGTTCCCATAGTGGATTTGGGGACCCATTTCGTTGATTATAACTATTTCGGAAGAATGTTTGGGGTCATGGGCAAATAAAGAAACATCACACATCATACTGGGTTGTGGAAGATGGATGAAGATTGATTGTTGTCGCCTACTACTACTACTACGACGACGACGACTACTACTACATCTACTACAACTACTGCTGCTACTGCTGCTGCTGCTGTTACTGCTGCTGCAACTGCAACGACTAGTGCTCCTTCTCCTACAACCTACGACCTACTACCAACTACTGCCGCTGCCATTCGTATCTCTTTTGTCTTCATGAGCAGCCGCTGCCTGATCATGACTGTTGATATTACCATGGTTATATATGCTTTCTGCCTCCCGCCTGGTTATCATCACGAGGTGAGCCTGCTGGGGGGAAGCCTGTAGGCATATTCGTTACTAATAATTGGCATCGTCATTACCATTCCGATTCATTCACTGTTCTGACTGGTATTATTGCTGCTTTTAAGAAGGGTGACCAGTATTGGCGGGCACTTCATCATGCAGGTGCCTTCGCATTGCTATTACGATTAGTGTTGGTATTACTGTCGCTATTGTTTTTTCTCCATCATTCCCCACTACTGCCACTACCACTACTACTACTGCTGCTACTACTAGTACCACCACGACCACCATTACCACCACCGCTGCCACTGCCACTGCCACTGCCACTGCCAGTACCAGTACCAGTACCAGCACCAGCACCAGCACCAGCACCAGCACCAGTACCACCACCACCACCACCACCACCACCACCACGACCACTGCGACGACGACGACGACGACGACGACGACGACGACTACTACTACTACGCGGATGTGCAAAGAGGCACTATGAGAACTGCTACCATGAGCCCCATGGTTTGCCCAGTCAAGCTCCGTCTTGCTTCTGGTG